GAAACAAGAATGGTGATATTCGAAGCAGGCTATTCGCCTGTGATAGAAGCGGAAAACCACAAAATACTCGCCATCTTTAAGAAGCGGATCGTGTTCAAACAATGCGTGGTTAGAAGCGAATGAGTTGTCCTATGAGGATCAAGATAGTAGCTGTTGATCAAAGTAATGCCAAGGGAGCTTGGAAAATTGTACACACTCGAGATGGCAGCCGCATACACAACCATCCAGCCCCCTTAGATGTTTGTGTACATTCTGCTCACCGACGCTGCAGTGCTCAACAGAGTACGACTCCAGAAATGGCTACTGTGAACGATTTGATACTTTTTCAGACGGCAGCCGACGTTTCCGTATCCAAAGTCTACACTACTCTGTTGCTGTCCGACATCACCTCTCTTCTTATTCCCAAAGACATAGCAAAAAGTAAAGACGCACGTCGCCGAGACATGTTGGCAACAGAGACCGCGATTGAAGCTCTTTTCCGGAAGTTCTCGGAACATGGTTTGCACTACAAATTCGAGGTTGACCCAGAAACGCGACGACTGAAGTATCTTTTGTGAGCACACCCTGATACTATGAAACTTGCTCGGCATTACATGGGAGTCGTTGTCATTGGCTGCACATACAAAACCAACAAACATAACTGGCCCCTCTGCAACATCATTATACTTACCGGATTAAACAAGATTCTCACAATCGCTCAGTGTTGGCTACCGGGTGAAGCGGAGCCCAACTACACATGGGCGTTCAGCCAGCTGAAGTCGCTTCTCATTGAAAATGGCGTACCCATACTTCGCTTGATCGCAACGGACAGAGACCTCGCATGCATGAATGCGAGTGATGCTGTATACCTCGGAGTTCCTAAGATCCTGTGTCGCTGGCACGTCAACCGCAACGTTCTTTCACGCGTACATGATGATCTCGGAACCATACGTCTATCGCAACCGGGGTCGAATGGTGAGATGAAACAGAACTCTGTGGAGACGGATGTCTTCATGGCCAAATACTATGAGGCCCTGACATCGGAATCCGAATCTGAATTCGAAGAGCACTGCACCTCACTACAAGAGCTGAGTAGCATTACCGCTGACTACATGGTGGAAGTATAAAACCCGTATTGTCAAGTGTTGGATGGACCGATATCCTCATTTTGGTTGCCACGATAAGTCAACCGTTGAAGACACCCATGCGAAGATAAAGC